CGACCGATACGGTTTAATGTCTGTCGACGATCCGTCAACGAACAGCAGGCACGTAGATACCTCGCCAAGTTCTCTGACCGATGGCCAGGCAGAACTCTTTACGCCTTTTTCGACATTAAGCAGTTACCTGGACGAGGTTGCGTACGTGGCCGCTGGTGGTCTCAGACACGGCGACGATGCGTATTCGCGTAACAAATTCAATCAATTGGCGAGCGATAGCCTGCGTAGCAATCGGCCAGTGCCCGACACCAGAAACGCAAAGTGAGATCGACTTTCAATCTTCCTAAAACCTAATGCATAACATAATTGCTATTTAAAATTCTAAGAATGCTTATATTATGTTATATTATATATGTTTTTTTTTTTTTTTTTAAACGAGAGAATTGTACAATCTGTAATTTAAGATTTACAATAAGCACAATAAGTGATAATAGAATAGAATAATATAGAAAAGACGAAATAATAAGATAATAAGACAACGACGGGTTGATGATTACAATTATTTACAACAATTCAGACAGGGGGCATGAGAGAAGAGACCATCCATTGATGGGACAGTCCTGAGTCCTGACATATTATACAAAAATGTGTAATCTCCATTATATAGGTATTACCGTACGTGTGTTCACCAATTTAGGGAACACTGAATTTCTCGGCCTGATTATGTTGGAGTAAATCGAATTTTTTTATAAGCAAGCGTGGTATATAAATATACATTTTCAGACAAATTTMAAATTTTTAACCCTCTCGATACGCACATGCGCAATGCAACTTATTATTTTTTTAATAGCAACCGGTATTTTTGATACCAAATTTGGATAGACTGAATTTTTTTAAGTCATTTTAACCATCAGTTAACCATGGATCTAAAATCAAAATCGACCGAATTATTTATTATTGGTTACTTTTTGAATATTTTTACGTATACAGTTCTAATCAATTTTAATTAAATAATTTTATATCCATATTATGTTAATATTATATTTATAACAGGTATAAAAAAAAAATACGTAAAAATATTCAAAAATTAACCGATAATAAATAATTGTAAATGGTTTTATGCATTTCATAATAAAATGTAAAAATGTATTATTTATTAAAATTTGAATGGCTCTCATTCAGTAAATTTTGTTTTTAGATCCATGGTTAACTGGTTAAAATGATAAATAATAATAAATAAACAATTGTAGGTACCTGTGGTGTCCTGCGTGTATGAATGTATGATATATTTCTGTTTCAAATTTCTAGCGAGTAATTTTTCAGTGCTTAAAAGTATATACATAGGTACTAAAAATTATTTCATATAAATATAAAGTAGAGGTAGAAAACGGGGATTCTCGTTTGATATACAGAAATTCGTATTTTCACAGGAGTAGAGAACACTCATCAAATAGTAAAAATATCATTATACATTTTAAAGTATAATGGTATTTAAGTATATTTAAAAATTTGAAAAATCTGATTTTGAATAGTTGCATCATTGAAAAAGGGAAATGGGGATGAGTATAATATATATATATATACTTAATTTCATTTATTACGTACTACGTATACCTACTAAATTGTATGCAACAGGTGGAAACGTTAAATATGCAATAGTGCAGCGTCAATCAGAAATTAAAATTGAATAATTTTAAATATTCAAGTTAACCTGTATCATGATAATTTCATTAAATAATTAATAATATCCAAGAAAACACTATATTTGTGTAAAAATGATTTCCATTCATATACGAAATTTGTGACGCCATATTAAAGCGAAGACAAGMAATTATATRTTTGAGTTTATTATAATATATATTGTTAGCAATTAAAAGTTTTGTTAATATATTCATTTTGTATAGTTGCAAAGCATTAAGGAAGTTAATATATTTTATACTATATTCTATTATATTGTTTTCACTAAATTTTCTAGGTGGATAAAAATAATTTTATTTATTTATGTTAAATTCAAATTTACATTAAAATGATTATTTATTTGTTTTTTTTTTTTTTATCAAGATGTTTAACTAAGAAATATCGCAGTGATCTGCCTCAGACAAGTGTCATCATCACCTTTCATAACGAAGCCAGGTCTACTCTTTTGAGAACAGTTGTCAGGTATTATTTGAAAAAATGTTTTTTTTCATACCATATCACTATATCAGTAATCAGTTGTATATAATGTCTTGTACTTTCAGTCCATTATAACTCACTGAATAATTATTTTATTGCTATCTTAAATTTTAGCGTTTTAAATAGAAGTCCTGAACATTTAATCAAAGAAATAATTCTAGTGGATGATTTCAGCGATGACAGTAAGTATTTTATGAGAAATATTAAATCTTAGTTTTATATTAAAAACAAATATCATAATAGCCATAAATCGATCTCATATTCTCATCTTAATTAATAAATTATATACTAATAGATTTTTGTTTTTACTTTAAGTTACTGATGGACAAGAATTATCAAAAATACAAAAAGTGAAGCTTATTAGAAATGAACAAAGAGAAGGTATACATATTAATGTTATGTAATAATTGAGTTTAATTCGTTAATTTAAATTAATATTTTTGAAATATATTCCTATTTTCTTTTAATTMAATTAATTAAATTTAATAARTTTCATCTTTCTAAAAATCTAATGTTTAACATTTTCACGTAATATTTTCCAACCGGTTTTATCTATTTATTACGTATTTATGTAAACGACCACGAAGGCTCAGGTATGATAATATTACAATCTTAAGTTTAATAGAAAACAAAATAGACGTATTAAAGATTACCAGATATCTATAATAAATAATCATTAAACTATAAAGCTAATAAAATAGATTAATTTAATAAAAGTTTATTAAAATATAAACTAATTTATACTGTATATATTTTGAATTTTTTGTATTGTAAGTGTTGTATATGTAATTGTTAATTGTTAATTATATTTGTTGAATTTGTTCTATGAATCATGTGGCTATATAGGTGCTATTTGAATTTTATACGYATATATGGATCCAAAATAAAATAATAAGAGCGTAATRGTTATACTAACTATTTTATAGTAATATTTTAAAACAAAATAATATATTTCCTATAGGGCTAATGAGATCTAGAGTTCGTGGCTCAGAAATTGCGACAGCACCCGTGCTTACATTTTTGGACAGTCATGTAGAGTGTAACGTGAATTGGCTTGAACCACTTTTAGATCGTGTAGCAGAAGTATGTAATTTTGTTGTAATTATTATTGTCTATAACTCGTGTCTTACCAAAATATAACATTATAAGTATTCAATGTCAAGAGAAGACTTAATTGGTAATTTTATTTTTATAGGACCCGACTAGGGTGGTGTGCCCAATTATCGACGTCATCAATATGGATAACTTCCAGTACATAGGAGCTTCGTCAGAACTCAGAGGTGGATTTGATTGGAATTTAGTGTTTAAATGGGAGTATTTATCAAAAGAAGTCAGATTGGAACGTCAAAAAGATCCAACTTTACCAATCAGGTAAATTACTTTCAAATTTTAAATGGCCACTCTACAACAGTAAAAAAAATAATCATTAACGGTTACTATATATATTGTTTACCACTTACGCCATTTAAGATGTTCAGCGAATACAATGTTGCAACAAATAATAATTGTAGGTATGACATACATTTGTCACCCTTTAACTCGAGTGATGGTATACTCGTGAACCCAACTGTAACGTATAGGTTGTGGAACAACTACTGTGGAMCTTACTAGTTGAAGTTATTAATAGGATTTAATTTACATAACCTATCTATTCAATTATAATACCAATGAAAAGTTTGTATTTCATAAAATAAATACCTATAATAAATAAAAATTGCGGTATTTATTCAATATAAATATTCACACTGCAGATTATAGTGATTGTATCAGTTTGGAATAATATATGCAAATTTAAAACAAATATTAAAATATATATGTCAATATAGATAGTCGCATACCTATACATCATGCATGTATAATATAAATAATGTTTTGTTTAATTTCACAGAACACCTATGATTGCTGGTGGTTTATTCGTGATGAACAAAGATTATTTCGTAAAACTTGGAACATATGACAAGGAAATGAACATTTGGGGTGGTGAAAATTTAGGTAAAGAGTGATTTCAAAACTACTATTTATATAATTATTAATTATATGCGTTAAACTCTATGTATTTAATAAACTTTTGAACTATATCTAAAAATAAAATGTAATATAATGCACAAAAAAACAAAAAATGTCGATCGTTTCCATCATCGAGCGCATATTTGAAGACATCGCGGTTGTATATTTTATTATTATACTTACGTTTTTTTTTCCATTTACAGAAATATCGTTTAGGGTGTGGCAATGTGGTGGTAGCTTAGAAATCATCCCTTGTTCGAGAGTGGGGCATGTGTTCCGAAAGAGACATCCTTATACGTTTCCGGGTGGCAGTGGCAATGTTTTCGCCCACAACACTCGTCGAGCAGCTGAAGTATGGATGGACCAGTATAAACGATACTATTACAATGCCGTGCCATTATCTAGAATCGTCCCATTTGGAAAGTATGCTATTCGCCATTGTATAAAAGTGTTCTATACATAGGAAGTAGAAAAAAAGCGATGACGATTTCAATGTGATGTACTGTTGTTGTTATTTCAGCATAGCAGATCGATTGGAATTGAAAAAAAATCTCGGCTGTAAACCGTTTAAATGGTATTTGGAGAACGTTTATCCGGAACTTAAATTACCAGCGAATGTAGACGAGTTCGTGGGTAGTTTTAGACAGGGTTACATGTGCTTGGATACATTAGAAAACCAAGTAGGAAAAACGKCGGGCATCTTTCCTTGTCACGATTACGGTGGCAATCAGGTATGTATATTCTAATATTACAGTTTAAAAAAAAATACTTTTGAGATAACCGTATAGAGTAATATAATATTTAAAATTATTATAAACATAATAATAATAATAATAATAATAATATTTTTTTTTAAGGAGTGGACATTTACAGTTGGTGGATCGATTAAACACGACACAATGTGTTTATCTCCAACAGATTATTCATCCATGAGTTTAATTATTATGAAACCCTGTGACTCTACAACCGACGAAGTTAGTATATTATACAAATTATTAATTCGCACTGACAGCATCGTGGGTTCTGTGGGGCTGTTCGAATTGAAATATTAAAACATTATTATCTGTGATTTTCGGAGTTTCTAGTTATATTTCATGTTATGAGTGAATTAATATAGAATGTAATAATTATTTGTACTTACCAATTACCAACATATTTTAAATATATTTTAAAATATATACCCACCTCCAAAGCTACTCCTAATTTAAAGATTTTAAATTAATACATAATATTGACTCATACGACTCCTACATCACAGAGAACAAAATCCTATGATAAACAGATTAATGATTAGATAGTAAACCGTTTTTTAAGACAAGAATCAGTAGTATAATTTTAAGAGGACGTTATACAATTATAACATTGCACATTTTATGCTCAGCAGAACACGTGTAGCTCTGTTAGTTTAAAATTTAGTTTAAAATTTGACCTTCTGTAAGAATAAAAGATAACATTATTATCGAGGGCTTTTACGCTTTTCATTATATTTTGATTTTAAAGCAAATTATGAGCATTTTAAAATTGTGAATTTGTGAAATATCTTAAAATACTCATAACTCGCTAATCGCTTTAAAATTAAAATGTAATAAAAAACGTATGAAAAGCCCTCGATAATAATGTTATTTCAAATTTTTACATGAGGATAATTCACTCTAAATTTTAAGCTAACAGAGCTACAAGTGTTCTGCTGAGCGTAAAAATTGCAATGTAACGCACTTGTATGCCAGAGACAACACATGCAGGTATAACGTCCTCTTAACATTTTTCTAGAAAATTACGAGGGTAAAACACTTAGTAATTAGTATGGATTAATAATAATTTATTAAACATTTATGCATTTATGTCAGGACTTTGCACTCGAATTAGTCGAATTAGCCCGATATCTGATAATATTAAAGTACTTATCTAAACTAATGACAATGCCCGATATCTTGCAATAAACCGAAAATAAGTAGATATCGAGATTAAAGATAGTAGTTAAAAATCTAATACAAAATATKATTTACGCAATTGTGTAAAATTGTATTATTAATTATTATTTTAATAAAACTATGAACAATATGTTACTATATTTATCTCAGGTATATCTATTAACATTTAATTARTATATTAATATTACATTGTTCATAATATTATAATATGTGTTCATATCGATATTTGGTGCAAAAATGTTAGACAGATAGAAAAAAAAGTGTTAAAGATATTTTAAATATTACTTAGAAAACAGTAAAACTATTAAATTTAATAATATAATTTGGTGTATTGAAAGCACCTCTGGGGATTCATTATTTCAGGATTTATATTTAATAGTTAAGTATTTGTGTAACTTACTCAACACCTAATACATGCCCTACTTACTCGATAACGTATATTAATATGTTTTAGTGGAAATACGACGAAAACACTAAACAGTTAAGGCTTAAAGCCGTTAACCTATGTTTGGACACGCTTGGAGTACACGACATGATAAGTATAAATGTGTGCGATAGTCTAAATTCAAATCAGAAATGGAAATACTTGGTTGCAGCAGGAATCGATGATAATAATGTTTAAATCCTACAAAATGGTAATCAATAGACAAAAATACAGAATAATATAATAATATTTGTTTATTGATATCCGAAATCAAAAACAAAAACTACTTAGATGAGAATCCATAKATCAACTTTTTATATTGTTTTATTATATACATTACACAGGGAATACATCAAATAAATACCTAAAATGATGTTTAAAATATTATAATGTATCTACACAGCACAATTGCTATTATATATTGTACTGTGATACATTTTAAAACAAACAGCTTTGAGTAGTCTTATTAACTATAACTAAGATTATTTACTTATAGCTGTATAATATAATTATATAGGTACAATTAGCATACGTATATATGTGTATATAGCCGATATTTTTAGTTATAAAATAATTTTACATTTACGAAAACCTTAGTATTATTACTTTAATATATTATAATAAAACTTAAAGTAGGTGTATACTTATACAATATTACAATCCTTTATATTTATGAACATTTGCTATCATTATTATGAATATTATGTGTAATTTATTCTTAATTTTAACATAGACAACGTCTAAGATAAAAATAGTTTTATTTGAAATGTAAATATATAATACATACTATGGTTATTTTTATTTTTTGACATTTTTATACAATTTTGTTGGTGTTATTTTATTTTTAAGTATTGTCATTATTATTTTATATGTATCCTTGTAAAATACTTTATAATTGATAAGGCTGTGATTTAAATCTTACCATGATTATTAAATGATATGTGTACTTATACATACACTATTGTAAATATCTATATTATTTTTATTTTTTCATTCAATATCCTATTTTGAGTGTCAAMTGTCAAGTCCATAATATAATAGGTATATCTTATTATTATTGTATACATTAGCTAATTGTAAGTATATATAGGTTAATAGCATATACGTAGGTATAATCAAAGACTGCGGTTAACTCAGAACRTAAACAATTTTATAAAATGTACACGAATGTTATTTTTATTTTTTATTTATGATTAAACATTTTAAGTTGATAAATGATGTAATATTATACAAGAGTACATATAATGTGGCATTGCAATTTTTACTTACGATGATATAATAGCATCGAACCTAACCYTTTAAGTTCCTCGCCGATGTCAATAATATGAGCTATTGGCGTAATTCCATTAAATTTCAGCAGGTGCAAAATGTTTATCGGTCCAATAATCGTAATGACAAATTAAGTCATATTACTCATATTTAAAGCTAATTGCATGACTTAAGTGTGCTATAGGTATCTTTTTTTATATTTGATAAAATGATAACAATATAACATAAACTGCAAATATCAAAATCTGTAAGTACCTATATTTTAAATACTATATGTACCTGCTACATAGTACCAGGGGGTGCAAGTACACCGTCGTGCATCACCGTAATTACGCCACTGACATGAGCAATTTATTTTGCAAAGATTAAGATGTATATTAAGTATATTTAAAGTATATGCATCAAATATTATTATACCAAACAAATGATGATGTGAACGAATCGTCTGTATAATTTGTGTGATGCAAAACCAATTATTATATAGGTATTAGGCAATGGCGTACTTATTGAGGTGAGTTTTATGTGTGTTTTTATGACAACGTTATAKGTCTTCAGTGAATTAACTATTAAAGATTAAAGTCAGATCGTCAGAAGTCTCATTGCACTTATCATAATTCATAGCCAATGTGATTCTAACAAGGCCCTGCACATCAAATTATCAAATCCGTTCTCCTGTTTCGAAGATCAGCGTTGCTAAAGAACTAAAARAGACTTTTTTTTAACAGCGTTAAAAAGTTAATATTTTTTTTTTAATTCTAAAATTTCACAATTTGTAACTATTTGATTGATATTGACAAGCTCTTTGTTATGATATGTCAACCAACTTTCAACAAGTGTAAGGGAAAATAGTTAAAAAAAATATAAGTTTTCAGGGCTGAACATGTCGACGATTTTTGCAATTCAAATCATTAAACCTCTTGTGCATGATCTCAAATCTATCTAATTTTATAATATATTTTATTAGAGCTAAYACAATTACTCGCCTAAKCACTCATTATTACTGAATTACATGTTTGTTATTTTCCTATTTATACCACAATAAACTCTTGAACTTCGAACTAGGTACATACTAGTAATTTTTATTCCAATAACCATACTTATTTGACTAAAAATTAAGAAATTAGAAAGCAATAACAAAATAAATAAAACGATAGGTATCCGGAAATTCGTAGGTCCAGACCGGTGTTAAATTATCCCACAATGTCCCGCATTGGGAATTAGCATAGCGTCAGTAAGGAGCAAAATGTAATTATCTCAGTAATTTTTTTTACCCACCTGTTTGARCAAGCGAAATTCTAGTATTACGCAACTATAACTACGGTATTTGTGTACATTATTACTTATAACCTATACTTATTCTCAAACATAACTAATTACTAAATACCTAAATTATAGTATTTAACTAAATTGATTATAATATAGAAACGTAGAAACCAATCAATTTTCATAATTATTAATTATTAACTAATCGTATTGGGTTTAATACTTATATAGGCAGAGGTTAAAGTGGGGAAAAATTCCAGAGGGGACTAATGTCTCCATAAAGTTTTAAGCGTTCCATATATAATTTTAGGTATAATGTCTGATGTATAAAATCCTAATTTGTAAAAGGAGACGCTTTTTAACCGCCGTCAGAGGTAAGGGGGACTGAGTCCTCCTGCGCCCCCCCCCCACTTTAACCCCTATTTATAGGATTTAATTAATAATAGGGATAATGAATTTAAAAAAAAAAAACAACAAATTTGTAGAATTGTTATAGAATTGTTCACTAACCTATTCACTAACCTGTTCACTAACATCATGAATTTTAAAATGGTATAATTTATATCAAATTCACTTCTATTAATCGTCCTTGTAAAGACTATTAATATTTTACTTTATCCTCTCATGTTTTTCACCAACAAACTATGCAACTGACCATGGTACTATTATGGTAGCCGTTAATCTGTTAATCAGAATAATATTAGTATTATATGTATTTTTATGCAGTAAATATTACTGTAAAATAGCCCGTCAGTTGTTGCTACGTCGTCTGTCATGTTCAAGAGTTGAGATCTATTCTGCCCACGATTTAACTAGTGAATGATTCAACACATAATTACAACGGCCATGACGAAATAGGCACATTTATTTCGTTATGAAAACGGCCAAACAGAACCTACGATAAGTCACACGCCTCACGTGTACCTACACGGCTACACGAGTACACGACACGACAGACTGTTTAACATAATATTATTAACCAATAACCATGGATATCCACGGTAGTTGATATTAACCATGTTATTAACTTAACTGTGTCACTCACCACCGAACCACAATACCACATAGATGTTAAAGATCTTTAACATCTACCAAGGGCGTATTTATGGGGGTGGCTGAGGGGCCTTCAGCCCCCACCGAAATCCAGGAATTGTTTATGAAGTCTGCTTATTATGTCCTATCAGATGTAAATTTTCTAACTCATATAGGCTGAATTGGGAATTTCAGTTGGAGAAAATACCACAGCCYCCCTCCCCCAAAAAAAAATMAAAAAAAATCTAAATACGCCCCTGACATTTACAATAATACATTCGCCAGACCACTGACTGGCACAAAATATTTTTAATAGGTCCGTAAGACCGTGATGTACGAACGCGTAGTTGGTGTTGAGTGATCGTTACGATATCTGATAACAACCATGATAAACAGAAAACAGTGATAAAATACAATATGTTATCATCACAGATTATATAAATAATATTATAATAAATATTATATTATATAAATTATATAATCTGTGTTATTATGCGATTTTCGAAAACCCAATCCTTATCAGTTTTCTTTGATAGCGTAAAGCAACTATCTTTTACTTGAGTAGCTGAATTTCTGTATCTAACTCTTAATTTTCAATTTGCATTTGAAGTTTGAACCGTTATTTCTACCCACGATGGTTTCGTGTTATACTTTACTTCGAACTTTCACAGTCCGCAATACTGTGTAAATARTAAATACTAAATAGTAGTTGCGATGACTTTACGAGTTACGTGAAGTCTGYTGTCCGATTTGTTAAAAGTATGAACGTAATGTAGGTAGTGCCTAGGTATTTTACGTAAATGGTTTCCTGTTAATATGTCGACTGTTACACGCCTATTGCACTATTGACATCTGAATAATGATCATTTGATAATATTGACTGTACCMACTAAATTATTATGGTGTATGTTAAAAGATTCAAACTATAATAATATCTGTTGTGTATGTACGCACACATCAAGTATTTGATATTAAAACATTTTTAATTTTTTTTTTTAGTTTTAACATGAAAGTTACTTGGAACTGGACCGAACTCTGTGGTCCCGACGATTTTGTTCCAATATTTCGGCCAGGATATGTGTTGAGTATTTGTGGAGAAATGGCAGTCATTCGCCTGCCCATTCTGTTTATATTCTTGTTGACATCAACATATTACWGTGCTCATCTGTCTGATTGGATAATACGCACAAGACGCGAAACCAATATTCTTCGTTGCCGTATAATTATTGCTAGTATGCTGTCAATGTTACCAGCAGTTCAACTTATTTTAGAAGTGTACGAATTTACTGAAAGTCAACTATATCCTATCGAAAATTTAGTCCTAGTAATCCAATGTTTTACGTGGTTGGTACATGCATTATACATTGTATGTATACGCCATCATTTGGGAACAAGTTTAAGAGGTTCAAAAGTTGTGATAGTTGCTTGGTTTTTATGTTTTTTATCGTCTATTATATCTTTACGCAGTACTTTCGTAGTATTTATTGAAAGTGCTTATGTACCAATTTTACAAGCGAGATTATGGTTCACATTATTCAATTGGATGCTTCAGGCATTTTATTTCATTACTATGATCTTCAAAGAAGACTCTATAAGAATAAGACATGTAGACAGACTTCGTTTTCTTGCCCAGGTAAAACTTTTGTGATCACATAAATTTAATAAATTATTGTATTAGGTATATGTTTATATTTTATTTGCTTAAAATCATTTTTATTTTTAAAATGTGCTTACATTTTTATTATTATTAATTTCTAATTTCTTACAAATATCACTATTTTAAACTATAAAAAATTATTTTGAGATCTWAACATCTGAATTTATTTATTTTAAAAATAAAACAATATTGATTTCAAACATTCAGACACACAGTTCAAGTTATCTTAACTTTACACTAATAATCTATTTTTATGAAAATATTTAGGTATGTTTATGAAGTAAATAATTGGATGTATCTAATCTGTATATTAATGTTTATAATTTTAGCAATCACTTGAAAGACGTTCTTTAATGACATCATCATACAGTCGTTTCAATGATGAATTTGATCCATACTATTTGGGTATGGCGTGTGATAATGAACACTATGGTTTTATGTCCTGGCTTACATTTGGTTGGGTTGGTAGTTTAATTACCAAAGGAGACAACAAAAGATTGCATCATACAAATGATTTGTTTGATTTACCCGAATGGCTGACCCCGGTAAATGTATCAGCTAAGGTGGAAGAAGTATTTAGACATCAGCCCTCTGTGACAGCTTCATCACCAATTCATTTGCCAGCTGACCATCAACCTAGAGTACAAAAAATATCGTTACTACAAGCTCTACACAAATGTTATGGAAAACAATTTTATGGGATTGGTTTACTAAAATTATTTGCAGACATTTTTGGATTTGCAGCCCCTATTTTTTTAAGTAAACTGATTAAATTTGTATCGCATCATGAAGAACCGATAAGTCATGGATATATATACATGGCAGGGCTTGTTTTAATGTCACTTATAAGTAAGAATATACTTGAAATTATTTTAATTTTATCTTTAAATTCAATTTTCAGTGACTAAATGATATTACACTTACAAATTGTATTAGAGAATTGAAGCACCTCCCGAGAATTTGAACTATTTCTTACAGTGTTTTATTTTTAGCTACATTATTTGGTGTACATTATGACTATCAAATACACATGATGGGAATAAAAATCAGAGGTGCCTTAGTGACAATGATTTATAAAAAGACATTAGAATTAAATACTGTAATGCTGAACAACTTTAGGTGATTAAAATAGTGTCATTTTTTTTTTTTAATATGTTATTCATTTAATCATTTTTTTATTTTAGTATTGGAGAAATAGTTAATTTTATTAGTACTGATACAACTAATTTAGTAAATGCTTGCAATAGTTTCCATTCAATGTGGAGTGTTCCTTTTCAAGTAAAATTATATATTATATGTATTTTAACTGTACTTGCTTATTTTACTTTCATGTTTTAGTTAGTTGTTGTTTTATACTTACTTTATCAACAATTGGGAATCGCTTTCCTGTCCGGAGTTTTAGTATCCATTTTACTGATACCGGTAAACAAGATTATTACTTCAAATATTGGTATGCGTTATGCATGTGTATTTAAATATAATGGATACTATTAAAAATAAAATTTGATTTTTATTTAATTACTTTTTTTGCAGGTAAATTAACTGGAAGACTGATGACTGAAAAAGATAAACGTGTTAAATTAATGTCTGAAATTATAAAAGGCATTCGAGTAATTAAATTTCATGTTTGGGAAAAATATTTTATTGATAAAGTTAGCGGTATGTTATGTTATTTTTTACTATTTTAATGTATTCTAGTTAAAATTTATAATTTATAGATTACCGAAAACTTGAAGTATTAAACCTGAAAAAAAGGAAATATTTGGATGCTTTGTGTGTGTATTTTTGGGCTACAACTCCAGTTACAATATCAATGTTGACTTTCTCAACTTATATTTTTTTGGGAGGTCAATTAACAGCATCAAAAGTAAGTGTATATCAGATTCTAACCATTAGTATTAATGTATAATATCAAAAACTACATTTTTAAATATGTTAAGGTTTTTACCAGTATGGCTCTACTTCATATGTTAATAACACCATTGAATGCTTTTCCTTGGATACTGAATGGTGTCACTGAAGCTTGGGTGTCTCTTAAAAGAATTCAACGTTTAATTGAAGTAATTGATTAATATTTTTACATTAAAAACTATTAATCATATTTATGTTTATGATAAATTTATTCTTCAGGTAGATGACCTACAAACACAATCTTATTATAGTCTAATGCCAGTCCAGTATGGAAAAACATTTGATAATGCTGTGTCGTTGACAAAGTGTTCTTTTAACTGGGGCCTTAGATCATTCCAACTTACTAACATAAATTTTTCTGTTGCTAAAGGATCTTTTGTTGGTATTGTTGGACCTGTAGGCAGTGGAAAATCTACTCTATTGGCTGGAATTTTAGCTGAAGTTTATAAAGACGATGGAATGATTGCATCATCAAATATGAGAGATGGTTAAATCTAAATGTTATTTTAAATTATGTTTTTAATTTTCTTTGTATACTAAAATATATGTATTAACTTATTTTTATAGGATTTGCTTTTGTTGCACAGACACCATGGATTCAAAAAGGAACAATTAAAGATAATATTTTATTTGGTCAGAATTTCAGTTTAGAAAAATACAAGTAATATTTGATTATTCTTGATTAGAAACACACCTTTATAGATTTTCTATAATTTTTTGAAAATTAGCATGAAATATGAAAAAAAATGAACAACCCAAATTTAATAAATTTTTAATGCTCAATTTATTTTATACTTATGTACAAGTTCTTTGACATTATTTGTGTATTATTAGTTATTGAAATGTTTTATTTTGTTTGTAGAACAGTCATAAAAAGTTGTTGTTTGGTTAAGGATTTCCAAGAATTTCCTAGAGGAGATTTAACTCTTATTGGTGAAGCTGGAGTAACCTTAAGTGGTGGTCAAAAAGCTCGTTTAGCTCTTGCCCGTGCTGTATATCAGGTATTAATTAATAAAATTTGACTAACGACTAATAAGTATACATTAAAATTAATTTACTATTTTTATACCTGTAAATTTTAATTTAATTGTTTGGAAATCATAAAATGTGAAGAATACTGTTCAATAATTGTTTTGATTGAAATGTATTAACTTACTCGGTAAATTTTAAATTACTACTATGTGATATATATTACTCTCAATTTTATAATTGCTAAAGTGTTTGTTATTTAGTTAATATACTCTGTTTTTTGAGAAAAGTTACACATTTTGTACATTAGAGTTATACTGGTAATAGCATGGAGCATCTAAATTGCTCTTATTTCTTAACACYCAACAGCTAGTGAATCATTGCCAATTAACTGCCAATTTGTGACCGAACAGGTGAAAGTGATGGGAGATACGTATCAACCAACACAAAATTGTGTACTTTTATCTTGAAACAGAGTATAGTATAATAATTTTATAAGATAATTATATCTTTACTGGTCTAAGGTTTTAAGTAACCAGTATTTAAATTTGGGTGAACACTGTAAAAAACAGACTTTCTTGCTTGAATCGATTTTCTCTCAACATTGAAACTCCTTAATAAAGGAATATCCCCATAGGGTATACTATATAATATACACCGTAGCTTTTCCTAAAATATCATGGTTATGCTACATTTACTCTCAAACAAACCATGAAAAAGAAAAAATACATGATTTTTAGCTTATTTTTGACTATATATTCTAAATTTTAAAAATACCAATGTTAAATAAAGTTTATCTTAATGCACTTATAATAGTATAGTTGGTTTTTACTAGACCATTGATCAATGCCCAATAACAAGTCACAGATAGTGAGCAACACTTATACAGTCTTACTACCAACACTCGATAGAAATGTAAAAATAATAAATATTAMACAAAATTGAATCTCGCAACAATGTAGTCGTCGCCTCATCAGTCTTTTATTTTTCTACTTACTCTCCAATACTTTTATCATAAAAAAATTAAATACCAATGTTTTGGGGGTTCTGCAACATAGTATACTCCCATAAAAAATGATGGTAACATATATATCTAATAACATTTAAAAATTAATAATTACTTCAATATATTATATTGTACTGATTTTTTTCAGAACAAATTTATGTATTTAATGGATGACATTTTTGCTTCAGTAGATGCTAATGTTGCTCAACATCTATATACTCATTGTATTAATGGTTTACTTAAAGATAAAACACGTATTATTTGTACCCACAATAGTCAATTTTTACTCTCTGCTGATTGGGTAATAGTAATGAACAATGGTACAATTGTAAATCAAGGTCGACCTTTTGAAGTACTTAATGATTATGATGTAAAAGCTTTGGATGTTAAGTTTGATGAAGCCAATAGTAACTCATCTTTGACTATGGATGATTGGACACCAACTAAGGAATCCGAAATTAAAAATGATTTAAATGACATAGAAAACCAAGAAGAAGGAATGGTTGATTTATCTGTTTATAAACAATATTGGAAATCTGTTGGAAATTTTATTATATTGACACTACTTTTTGCTATTATTATAATGCAGGTACTTATAAATAGTGTTCTTGTCAAATTTTAAATAATACATGATTGCGTTTTATATTTTACATTAAATATACTTTGTTCAACAGAGAGCACATTGCTACTGAGCTCACACCAGTACCATAATATCCCCCTCCCAGGTTGTACTATGTTGGTCAACCCGATAATGTTAAATCCCCTCTCCGCGATATACTCACATAGTGTTAGGTGGGATAAGGAACACGCAGCTTTTACTGCTGAGTGMTGACCAGTTTTGGTCAAAGTGATGTGTGCTATCTTGTTGAACACAGTTTAGTCTTATAGGTACACACTTAAAAGTAATTGTTTTGTCATAGTTGTACTAACTTTTATATGTTCTAGGGTTCACGAAATATATCAGATTTATGGTTATCTCACTGGGTAAATGAAATAACAAATAAACATAGTGGTTAGTAAAAAAACAATTTAATTTTTGATTCATTGCTTTATTTATAATATACAAACACTTAATTGTTAATTTAAATACATATTTTATATTTATACAATCAAAATGTATCATATTAAAAATTGAATTTATAATATTCAACGTTATTATTTTAATAATTTCATAAAAATTTATTTTAGTACTCAGAATAATCAGAATTGAATCAAACTAACTATCATTAATTTTTTATTTTATTTTGTTTCAGATAATGTTGTTAATGATTTCAAAAGTTTACAAGATGAAAACAATGAATATTTGTATACTTATACATTAATTGGTATAGTAAACTCTGTAGCTACATTTTTTAGAGCCTTTATATTTGCTTATGGTGGAATTAAGGCTTGTAAAAAGATTCATGACTGCTTGTTAACATCTATTATGAATGTGTGTATTTGTTAATGTTTAATTTTTATAAACTTATACCTACTTTTTAATTTTCATGTATTAATAATATATTTTTATTTTTTATACAGGTAAAAACTACATTTTTTGATGTAAACCCACTTGGTAGAATATTAAATCGATTTTCATCAGATACAAATGTCATTGATGATTCATTACCATTTATTTTAAATATTTTTCTAGMCCAATTTTTTCATGCAATTGGTACTCTTTGCTCCATTATATTTGGTGTTCCTTGGGCTATAATTGTGACTGTGATACTTACTCCTATATATTATAAATTGCAAAAACGATACAGAAATTCATCTCGTGAACTTAGACGTATATCAACTGTTGCACTATCACCACTTTATAACCATATAAATGAATCATTACAAGGGTTAGCAACAATACGTGCTTTTAGAGCTGTTTCCAGGTACATGTTAACCATAGTAAAATTAGTTTTTTACTATGAAACATAGTTAGTTGCTTAATTTTAATTTGATGGTGTTTTTTAAATGTTTAGATTTGAACGGGAAAATGAAGACAAACTAGAAAACTATTTGAAAGCTGAATTTTCTTCTCACTTAGCATCTTTATGGTTTAATTTCAGATTAAGAATCATTGGATTAACTATATTATTGTTTATTAGCTTAATTTCTGTATTTATTCATCAATGGAATCTCACAAATGCAGGTTTGTATTGATTTGCAAATGATATAGATTAATAAAGTGTTAAAAATCAAAATATTAATAGATATGGCTTTTGCATAAAAGGTATAACTTAAAATTATTATTAATAGGATATCTTGGGTTGTCTTTGACCTACGCATTAACATTGACAAATATACTTGGAGGATTAGTGAGTGCCATYGCAGCAACAGAATGTGATATGATTAGTTTAGAACGTGTTCTTGGCTATGCTGAAAATATAGAAAACGAGACTGATGTTGAAGACTCTGTTTCACCACCATTTGCATGGCCAACGAATGGAATCATACAATTTTCCAATGTTTTTCTTAAATATAAGTAAATTATTAAAATTTAAATATGCTTTGGAATATATTTTTATATATTCTGATTTTTAGGCAYGATGGTCCCATGTCTTTGAATGGAGTTTCRTTTGAAACTACTTCTTCAGAAAAGATTGGTGTCATTGGTCGAACAGGAGCTGGAAAAAGTTCATTATTAGCTGCTTTGTGTAAAATGTGTGACATTAGCAGTGGTGCTATTTTTATAGATGCTGTAAACCTTTCTAAAATTTCTTCACGACAAATAAGGTATACTTACCTTAATATTAAATACTAGTGTTTTATCCTGGTTTGAAATATTATAATATCTCAACTTTTAAACTAACACAGTGTGCTCTCCTCATTTTTCAGAAACCGTTTATGTGTAATACCTCAAGATCCGTTTTTGTTCAATGGCACTATTCGTGAAAACATTGACCCGTTTAAAGAGTATATGGATTCAAATATTTGGTCTGCACTACAACGCTGTCATTTAGTAGCAACCGTTAAACGTTTAGGCGGTTTGGGGTGTTATTTAGGAGACAATATTAACTTATCTGTGGGTGAAAAACAGTTGTTATGCTTAGTGAGAGCAATACTGAAGAACGCAAAAGTAGTATGTGTGGATGAAGCGACTGCAAATGTAGATGAAATTACTGATCGCAAAATACAAGAAACAATAAAAACTGCATTCAAACATAGTACTGTTATCACCATTGCTCATAGAATTYGCACTGTTATGGATAGTGATCGGTATGTCTATAATTTATTAAATTAAAAAAAACTATTTAACATCTATTTCATCATATGTGCATATTATATTTTTTGTAGAATATTAGTGATGGACAATGGAAAGGTAGTAGAATTTGAGGCTCCCAATCTGCTCTTGGAGGATAAAAATTCTTATTTTTATAATTTGGTTCAACAAGAGTTCAAGTAACAACTTATGATCTCAGTTTCACAATGGTGCGAGTTGAAATAAATAATTTAAGTATTTTTAATTACATATTTGTCAATATATTATCAAATTAATTATTTACTCTGTATATTTGTTATGAACTATATTTTATAACATATAACTATTCGTTTAATAAGATACTAAGACAACAATATTAGTGAATTTTTAAATGTATTTAACATTTTCTGTGTGGACATCTGTATTAATATATAAAATGTAATATCATTATCATTATGTATATATACTATATATTTGTTTATTAACTAATCAACTTGTCGTTTGACAAAATTAAATGTATTAAATTGTTATTGTAGATAAATTTTACTATATGTTACCTATAGGTTTAAAAATTATTTTTGTTACAAAAATCCATTTATTTTTAACTATGAAAACTATTATTTTTTTTTTTTAATATCATCACCAAATGTCTAAATTGTATTCAAAAAATTATAAATAAATTGTGGATCAATTAATCCTATGTATTGAAATTAAACTTTTTAGACCTCAAGTACCTTGAAATCCGTATGATGAGGATTCCATGTCAATAGATGGTGAACAAAAATCGCGCGACGACAATACTGATAGTGTCATAAGTAGGTTTCTGGACTTCTTGCATTTGCATGTTTTTTGGTAGCGGTCGTAGTCTATTCTAAGTGAGTTATAAATTTATTTTATGAAATGACGAAATTAAATACTAAGTTTGAATTTGCATATTTCGTCATATTTTAAGAAATGCGTATATTTGGGAATATTTCACATTTTTATAGTTCTATAAACGTAAAATTGTCGGAAAAAATGGATGGTCGTAGTCTGTCATTTCCAACACGTACGTCTGTTTATCGATTAATAATCAACCTTTTTATCGGCAATTATTATTTAGTTGTGGTATAACCTAATGAATCCTACAGACTCCTACAGATTTATCGTGAAACAAATTTAAATTCAAAATCTCCCTAGTAATGCAGTAATTAGCCGGGTATGAATATTGTACCGTACAATAGGTACAACGTGTACGATGAAATGAAAAGCAGTACGTATCATCACGCTTACATCATTTCTGACGACACGAACATGAAGACGATAGGGATGAGTTAAAATTATTTTTATTATATCAAGTAGGTACCTACCTAATTTTTAGATTTTTATTTTTATAATAGTAATTAATAAATAATAATATAATTCATGTGTTTTTTAAAAACAAAATAAAAAACTAGCTGCATATTTTGACGATTTTTACTGCATATTTCGATAATGTTAAGTGCAAAAAGTCCCGAACCCTAGTCATAAGATACACATTGTATGATATAATATTATTGATGTGCAACAGGTCAGGCGCGGATTCAGGGGGGGGGCTATGCGTTCTCGGGCACCCCCTGTCATCTAGCCACCAACAAAATAAATTTATATTATACAATTATATAATTTGTTATTTTTCAATATAATAATAATATCGGAGTTTTTTCTGTTTTCGTTATCGCCGTCACATAYGAGTATACGACAATAATAAATAATAACTATTGTTAATTGTTTTCGAAGTATACGCGTATGTAACGACACGCGGAAACCACCGATAACAATTATTATAAAAAAAGTTAGCACTAGCCACTAATAAATCAAAAAGAAAATGGTGATATTTAAATAAATAGTAGGGTGTAACAATTTTATTTTTTTGGGCACCATGTGTTAAATTATTCTGGATCCGCGCCAGCAAGGCAGCAACGGATTGACTGATTGAATACAATCGGCTACTCGATCTGCCGAGATGCGAATTTAAATTTTGTTCGAATACCTACGATTTATTTTGTTTTGCGGTACAACCGAAGATTTCTGAAATTCACGAATAGGTTGCTAGCACTGTCCGAGCCACAAGTGACTTATTTCCAGTATTACGGAGTGTTACGTAATTATAATACTGACTATTGTTCTGTGCTATATTTAAATAGTGCCGGCGTGCGTACGGCATTGGCGTTATCTGGTTATCATAACAGACAATAGAACTCCACAGGGTAGTTGTTGTTCATGAGTGCCGAGTGGTCAGTCCGTTATCGTTACGTTTGAATTGTGGAATTTCTGTGTATTTTCAATTCGCGATTAGCGGCGAGCCGCATATTATTCTTACCACGTGCTTTTTTCTTTTCCGTAAACCGTTTTCAAAATGGATCAAGACGAGGACTGGGATTCGCCTAACGACATCCAATATCAACCCCAGAAACAGTACGTGCCCAAACAACAGTACAATAAGATGACGGCCCACAATCCCGACGATTTGCTCATGGACATCAATTCCCAGTTCGCGGGCTTGGTCATCGGAAAAGGCGGCGCGATAATCAAAGGCTTGAGGAAGGACAGCGGTGCGTTCATCTCGGTCTTGGACAGCGACACCTACGGGTTGAAGACTGTGAAGATATCGGGAAATCAGAAAGCCAAAGAACACGCTCAAAAGCTCATCAGCGACATCATCGATGCGAACGACCCGGATAAAATAAAACAAAGGTTACTTAAAGAATCAGAACAGAGTGCACCGGTTCAATCTACTTTCAATTGGGACGAGTTGATGAAAGAAGAAGCGGAAAACCTTAAAAAAAGATTAGCGGCCTTGCCTCCGATTATTAAGGATTTCTACAAGGAACACCCCGAAGTGACCGCGATGACCGATCAGGAAGTTGAAGAATTCAGAATGTCCAAGAACAACATTATGATCAAATATATCGATGAAAATAACATGAAACCAATTCCTAAGCCAGTGTTGAAATTTTCACATGCATTTGGAGATTATCCGGAAATATTGGAAGAGATACAAAAGCAAAAATTTGAAACCCCGTCCCCCGTACAGTGTCAGGCGTGGCCTGTCATCATGAGTGGCCACGACTTGATAGCTATTGCACAGACCGGCACAGGCAAGACGTTGGCCTTTCTGCTCCCTGCTTTTATTCATATTGATTTTCAACAGACTCCACGTAGTGAACGAAAAGGACCATCTATATTGGTATTGGCGCCAACTAGGGAATTGGTGTTACAAATTGAAAGCGAAGTATGATTATAATATTAATTTTCTATGTGTGTACAAGTCTGATCATAATGATTTTAATGTTTTTCTCTTGTTTAGGTTAAAAAATATAGTTACAAAGGCATTAAAGCCATGAGTATTTATGGTGGTGCAAGTTCTGGAAAGCAAAAAGAAGTTCTGCGGCAAGGAGTGGAAATCGTCATTGCTACTCCTGGTCGACTAAATGATTTTGTTGGTAGCGGTGCTATCGACTTATCTGATGTGACATTTTTGATACTTGAYGAAGCTGATCGTATGTTAGATTTGGGTTTTGAACCTCAAATACGTGTTTCATTACTTAGGGTTAGGCCGGATAGACAAACCATAATGACAAGTGCAACCTGGCCACCTGGAGTTAAACGACTTGCTAAAAGCTATACGACTAACCCTATTCAAGTTATGGTCGGATCATTAGACTTGACAACGGTAAATACTGTAAAACAAGATATTCTAATAATGGATGAAGAAGAAAAAGAATCATGGCTCGACGATTTTCTTAAAAGCTGTAGTGCCGATGATAAAATCATAATATTTGTGAACAGAAAAGTGACTGTGGATCAGCTTTCGTCAGATTTATGTATGAAGGGATTAATTGTTGAATCCATTCATGGTGGTCGTGAACAAAGTGATCGTGAAATGGCTTTGGAAAGCTTACGTAATGGTGAAGTTAATATTTTGATAGCTACAGATGTGGCATCTCGTGGTATTGATATCAATGATATTACAGTGGTAATAAATTACGATTTTACTAAGGATATTGAAGAGTATGTGCATAGGGTAGGACGAACAGGGCGAGCTGGTAAAACTGGTCTGGCAATAACTTTAATGACTAGAAAGGATTGGGGCAAGGCCAAAGAATTAGTAGAAGTGATGGAAAAATCTGGACAAGATGTACCTCCAGAGTTGCAAGAAATGGCATCGAGGTTTGAAGCAAAGAAAGAACGAGATAGAGCTGAAGGAGGTGACAGGCCATTTAGGGGTGGTAGAGGAGGYGGAAGAGGGTTTTCGAGAGGTGATGGAGGGTTTTCAGGAAATAGAAGAAATAATTATTAAGTTTGAATAATTTTTGTAATGTTTTTCAAAGTTTATATTTCTTATTATTTGTTATCTAAATTTCAAAAATGTTCAAGTACAAGATGTATATTGTTTTTTATTTAATTTTTATATTCATCTATACTATGTAATACTATATAACGTTAAATCATATTATTCTTTATGAATGATTTAACGAGAATGTTTAATATAATTTATATGTATGTAAAAAATTTGTTTTACTTTAATAGTAAAATATGTATATACGTACATAATTCATTGAGAAATTGTCTTTAAAATGTAAATATTCATTAGTGTTTAAGCTAAATGAGTACGCCGTTGACCATTATCCTGATAGATCATTCACACTTGTACTTGTGTTACCAATAGTCATATTACAATATTATTGGTCTAAATCTACTAAAAAATGTTATGTTCTTAAAGCGTACATGAAAACGGCTATTTAAATGTGTAATGTACATGAATTATTAAGTTATAGCTAAATACTTGAATGATTTTAACTAGTCAAATTTATTAAGAGATGATTTATATTCATTGATACACAAAATATTTTGGTATAATTTTTGAAATTTAAAGCAAAGTAGTAAATAATAAACAAGTACTTTTTATTTTACCGATCAATTTCATGGTTTGTTTGATAACACATTATTTTTCCACCGCAAGTGTTTATAATTATTTATGGCGAATAGGTATTAAAAAGTATTAAGGTGTAAAAACTATTCCTTAAGTATTATCAACTTGATCATATTAGTTACTATGTACAGTTTTATAGGTGACTACTGAAACTTGTGTTTTTATATAAGCCTAGTCAGTTATTTTTCTTATAACTATTTACATATCGTACAAATGTATAAGTTGTAAAYAAATTTTATTGTTGCAAATTGCAATTCAAAATAGTATATCATGACATATAAATTGTTATTTTTGTTTTACTATATTAAGTATTATGCTATTTAAAATATATTCATATCATACATTAATTACAACAATTATGTTTTTGTTTATTTATTAATTTGTAGCATATAGAAATATTTTAATCAAATAAAACCAAAGTGTTATAAAATGTACAACTAATCATTATTAATACACAAAGATAACAATTAAATAGTCATTAGATTACTCAATATGATGACAGGTGACAAAAATAATTCAATTTATAGTTTTGTGTTACATTTCCTGCTCAGAATGCATTATAAATGATTAAATTGATAATGATGATAATAAAATATGAACATATAATTGTAACGTTAAAATTTTTAAGGAATAAATTGTTAACTTCGTGTCTAACATAAGTCTTCTATGACTCAACCTCCCACAATAGCAATAACAAATACAGCTTCAAAAAAAAGCAATGTGTAAGGGCAATACAAATATAGCTTAAGTATATTAATTACCGTTACATGTTATTTAAAACTTTTTCAAAAAGCTGGTTATGGCTCACTATACCATTCTTATCCTAAGCCCTAAACGAGTTCGTTCTTCTTCATCATCGCTTCCATAAGCTGATGACATACCTGATACAGCACCACGCCAAGATGTAGCTTGCATAAGCTCTTGATCAGGTTCAGTGCGATTTTCATAGAGCATTAGATTAAGGCATTCTTCATAAATTCTTGCTTCTGGAAAATCAACCTAAATAAAAATATGTAAAATTAGGTTTGTTAATAATTTTATCCTTCTAGTTTACCTGAATAAGTATTGTACAATCGAAAGTTTTCAAGGACTAATATTATAAATTWAAAAATAAACACGATATTTTAAGAGGATGTCAGCGCACCATTTGTTTTATCTCTGACCCTCGTGGCCACACTCAACATTGAACAGAAACAAAACACATTTACGCAGAATCATTTATGRCTGTGATTTCAACTTTCAAGTAATCTTAGAGTAAAATCATCCATTACACAAAAACATAGAGAATAAAATTTTTGAGGGAATGACATATCAATTTGTCAAAATATTGTCTCAAAACAATTTCAACAACATCATTTCAATTAATTTACAACATTTTTTTGTTTATTTTGAAATTTGAATACAAAATCAAAATAAAATATAATATAATATCAATATGCCATTCTCCACTTTTTTTTTGTAATGGATGGTTTTACTCTAAGATTATTTAAAAACATAGAAAAAACGATTCTACGTAAATGCATTTTGTCTATGTTACTCGTGGGCCAGAGAGAGAAAGAAAACAAATAGTGCGCTGACATCCTCTTAAAACCAAATATAGCAATAACAAAAAATATTAATACTTTTGTATGTTTCTTATCCGTAGCATATACAATAGATGTACAACAAACTTCAGCAACTTTAGTTGCCAATCCAAAATAACTCCAGCAACATATTTCACTCGAACCACTAACATCTTTGATAAACAGAAATCTTGAACCAAAACGCAATGAAAGTTTATCAAATAATTCAACATTTTTTAGTAAATTATCATCTGAAGCACTGAAAATAAAAATGTATTGACAATTTATTACATGGGATAAATAATTATAAATGTCTTTACCTTGTATATGAATACTTGTTATTATGTCTATTTATAAGAAGCTTAACAGTTGGCTAAAATAAAAGACAAACAAATTAAAAAAATATTTTATAAAATGTGATATTTACTTACTTTTGTACTCATTGTAATAAGTTGACTTAAGTCTGCACTAGAAGACGTAAGAGGTATACGACATTGTGGTTCGATTTTACACTGTCTTGACCGTAAAGCTTGTTGACAAGATTCAACAAGTGGTGATATTAAATAGAATTTGGCTTCAGCTAACAGCTCAGCGATTTCATGGGTCTTATCTGGAAGAGCTACATGTTCATCGCGCAAAAAGTTCAACACAGAATTAAAGTGMTTGCCACAACGATCAATTAGGACCCAACCTGAAGATTTTTTTAATGTGATAAGACTTTATTAACACATGACTTAGGTACGATATAAAATATGTCATACAGTACCTTCAGTATCAGTAAGTACTTTCATCCGACCACTAAACATGGCTTTTAGCATTGTATCATGCTTGGTCAAGGTACCAATTGTAGTATAAAATAATGAACCACCTACGTTTAATTTTGCATATTTAGGTTGAATTTCTTGAGGCTGCATTTTAGTATGATTACATTTGTTGTGATCAGCAGAATCTAAATGATTTTACCTTATTTATTAGTTATTGAACTGTTATATACATTAAACAATTACTTTTTATATAACTCCACCAAATATTTAAGACATGTCATTAATTTTTTATTATAAAAACTAAACATTATACTCTTGTTTAAGATAAATTCTACAAAAAGAAAAATGGATACGATGTTTATAAATAAAATGTTGAGATTACTCCCATTAGTTTATGTTCATTTAGCAAACAATTACGATTTAAGTATTGAAAATTGAACTATACAACTGAAGTTAACAAAAATTGAATAATTTATATTTAACGATGTGCCCAGTCCTAACTCAGTAACTAGGACTAACTCCTAGTCCTAAGTTAACTTTATAAACTTAGACCATATAGAACAATAATACAAATAAATAATAATATAGTTAAGACCCAAAGACCCAAGACTCAAATTCCTAAGTCCTAACAGCCTAACACGGTTTTAAAGGTAATTTAATGATAATAAACTAGATTGTATAATGTGTAGTGTGATAATGTGATAACAGTGATATAATTTTTCGGGATGAGTACAGTTCTGCCCAGTGATAAAGAGTTCGGCTCCGCAGACGGAGCCATTTTCCGATATCTAGAAGCGTAAGTTGTTCACCAGGTAGCGGTGGTCGATTTATAAAATTGTTTTATCGTTGATTGGTCAAATTTAAAATTATGCGACAACGGCCAACCGTAAACTTCGAACAGTCAAACAATCATAAGAAATTATACCGAGTTTAGCACGGCTAATCATAGCAAAACATTGAGTTCTTCAGTCGTGCTTAGTGCTTACTATATAGTTTCTTACATCGTGGTCTTTCGGTTCCTTGTTGGAAAAGAGTTGTGAGCCGTGTTCCTGACAAGGCAAATGGATACTCACAGTGGGAAATATCACTCGTCATTGGGATTTCACATACGTATGTCGGTTAGCGGATCGTTCTGAATCTGTGCCAAAACATACCATATCATAACGTGAACAAATTATTACCGTTTTTTTACCATTTGATGTTTTAAATAAATATGAAATCTTCACGTTCCACATCTTCTAAAATCACCAGCAGATTTGCTAGAAGGTTAATGTCCGATTCGTCGGACGATAGCGATGATGCAGATTCATCAAATGCCCAGATGGATAGTGCTCGGGCGGAGAAAGCGTTTTCTCGCCGCCGACGACAGACACCTACTTCAAACAGTTCGAATGTTACTGATGATTCTGTTAGTATTAAACCTGACAGAACATTATTCAGATTGTCCGATACTGATTCAGAAGTGTCATGTGGGTAAGTTTTTTTATTCAATTTCTAATCGAACTTGAAATATTAAACATGCTATTACCTGTTTTGCTCTCATACAATAAATTAATGTTTTGRCATTTTAACAATGCGGACCTTTCCATACCTAATTCCGCATATCAAAAAATAAATAACAAATTCCCGATGGTCTTGTGGTGTACTGGGGTCTGACCCTTTTGAAATTAAAAAAGTCTCAAATTAAATTTTTGGTAGGTAGTTGCGATTGTTATATTTCTTTGTGTACCTATTTAAATAAAATTTGAGTCTCAATAACTCAATATTTTTCTTGTGCCTTTAAGTGTTTTTAAATTATATTTGGAGTACATAACTCAAATTTATTTTATTATCTTTGAGCTCATCTTTGAATTTCAAGTTGTCGATACTCAACTGTACAAATAAATATTTGATTGATTCTTATTTTTATTTAAATTATATAAGTATGTAAATATATTGTTTTATAATAAATACATTTTTTTAAAGACAGGTAGTTAGTAAGTAAAAATAAGATAACTAAGAACTGTCTTATTTGTGATTAAAAGCTACACAGGAGTTAGATCTCACACGTCTTAAATCTGTTATTTCTGCTGGACCCATGTGCAACTAATCAAGAATTAATATAAAAATTAACAATTTATCAAAGATGAACTATTCTATAATTTAAGCATCTATATTGCCTAATATTTTGTATATAATATGTAAACACTAAGTTCCAAATTAAATCAAATTCCACCATAYAAATGGTGGGAATCAATATGATGTTTTTACACAATCTCTACTATTTATGTCTCAGAATATTTCATAAAAATATRCAAACATCAGAATTTTGAATAGCATAACTGGTATATTATACTAGTATTTACTTTATGTGTCCTATAAAACCATCAATAGGAAAAACCGAAAAATGTTATAGGTACCTATTGCATTTGAAACTTATACATTAATWTGTAGTTCGTATTTTAAGACATTTAAAGATCTATATATATCTACGGGGAGTCCCACGAGGATTTACCCATTGTGATATCTCACAAAATAATGGAGATATCAAAATTCTGRYTTTGTAATAAGACTCACAGGGATAAGAACTACAATTATTTCATTTTTTAATTTATTTTAATGTTTTGGAAAAAATTTAAAAAATATATTTTTTATTTAATTGTTTCCTAAACAAAAAAAAAATAAATAAAAAATATTAATTAAATAGCCATTTTGTTAAAATTTATTTTTCTAAAAATATTGACTTTTCAACAGTTTATTTTCATTAATTTCCTGATTTTTAATATATTTTATAGTTTTGAAGAAATTAAATATTATTATACCTAGACATACTGAAATGTTTGGCCAGATGTACGAGAACGCGCAGGGCCCGGCGTTTTTCACGTATTTAAATGTAAATTGTCCTACCTTTATAATGCAGAATTTCTTCTTTGGTAATATTGGTAATAAACCGCGTATACTTAAAAAATGTTCGCACATCTCTTCATTTTGAATTATGTGTCGATATAAATAACTCATAGTTGACAAACTCATAATAATAATAATTAAATAATATTTATTAATAAATAAATCGCAGTAAAACCACGTACTCACAAACACACACTAAACAGGTATAATATACCTAAAAGTATACCTACTAACCTACCTAACTTACTAAGGTATAAAATATAATTAAATATAATATGATTTGGGGTTTTATTAAAAGATTAATCTTAAATCGTGATTGCAAAATGATAAARTATGTATAATATATTAATATACAGCATACGGGCATACGGTAGATATCATAGGTAAACTATAGTAACTATAGTAAAATTACTGCAGTGGATAAAATATTTACTGTAGATAGCATATTGAACTAGTACCACATCAATATTTTCAGATAAATAAACTCTACAAAATGGCTATAGTGAATTTTTTTGGAAATTATTAAATATAAAAATATATTTTTTAACTTTTTTACCAAAACATTAAAATAAATTAAAATATGAAATAATTGTAGTTTCTATCCCTGTGAGTCTTATAACAGAACCAGAATTTTGATATACCTATATATTTAAATAAATGATAATGAATAATTAATATAAATAAAATTCTAACATTGCTTTTGTGTATAATTAATAATATTTAAAGGACTTAAACTTTGTTAATTTTGTTCTATCTTTTGCTAAATACTAAATTTATTGCTACAGTCAGCTGAGATAAGTAAAATAATAATAAATAAAATATCTAAAAAAAATTGATATGTATCATTAAATGTTGGTACTTACACATCTTATTTTCTTGAATTTGCATTATTATGATATTAATACAATCAGAATTCTATCTCTAAAATCGAGTATATTTTCATATTTTACATTATCTTGTTTATAATACAATATTTCATTTTATATTTAATAACTTGTATTTTTTTTTTTTGTTCACCGTGTATGGTTTTAATTTTTCTGTTATTTTATAATTTATTAAAATGCCTGATGTGGTTCTTGTTTTTTAAAAGCATCATTGTATTTTGTTGTTTTGTATATTTTAATTTGGATTTCTTTACGTTCTGCAATATGTTACATACATTTTAAACACCTATAAAAAGTTCAATATTTATGTACAATTTTCTAATTTATTATTAGTAATTTAACTTTGTATTTTTGTTTTAGAAGTAATAGAATTGATAAAAAGAAATCTTATGAATACAATGATAAAACAACTTCTCCTAATAGCTCAGTAAATGAATCGATTTTCAAACCTACAAAAAGAGATTTGGCTAAGTATAGAAATATATTACAATCGAGCGATGACGAACAATCAAAATATAGTAGTTGTGATGTAAGTTTTTTTTCTTGTTTATTGTTATACTTGGATGTTTATATTATGTACTTATTATTTAGGAATCAGGTGAYAACTCTTTGSCTAAAAAAAGTACATCTGTAATGGAGTCTGATGAAAGTGGTGAAGAATSTTTACTTGAAGAATATATGGATGATAAACCTGATAAAATAATAAATATTGTAGCTAATGAATCTTTTAAACCTCCTGGAAAGTATAAAACCAAACAAGCTTTAATTTTAAATTCTAGTAATGAAAGTCAAACTGTGACAAAGAGTGATATTTTTGATGTAAGATTTTTATTGTTTTAAATATTTTTGTAAAAGTTAATTTTTCAAAATATTTTTAGGCAACCAATTTGAATTTGGAATCAGATCCAGATATTATAAATTCTCCACAATACCAAAATTTCAAAATACCTGAAAAAAAAAATCAAGATGAATCTCTAATAGAAACAAAATTGGATGATTTATCTTTRATTGAACCTAGCGATTCTGATAATGATGTTTCTGTCCACCATAAATCAACTGTTACATCTTCTAAACAAATCCGGCCATTTATTGATGACTTGAAATTTTCAAACACTATCTATTCCTTAAATGATCCAATATCTCAAAGTAGTATTTTAGAATATCCAAATCCTGAAAATGTAACCTCAGAGCAATCATCAAAAATTAAGAAAAATGAGAAAATTATTGAAACAATTGATTTGGTTGGCGATAGCCCAAAAAAACCCTCTAAATTATGGTTACCAAAAGAACATAATCTAACAATTGATTTAACTGAAGAAAAATCAAATGAAAAATCTTCAGTATCTTCAAAAGATATTTCAACAGGTGATACAAAAAAACCAAATGATAGAGATTTTCAATCCCTAAAAATGGAAAAACTAAGATTAGAAGAAGTTCTAAGCCGATATACAAAAAATATYGCTAACATGAAAGTTAGTTTATGATAAATATATTTTTCTTAGATTTTACTGATTTTATTTTAACTTTTAGAACACTATGAAAATAACAAATTTAAACTTATTACCTGACGGAGGTTATAAATTAAAAAGAGCTATTTCAAAAGAAGAAAGTGCATCTATTGATACAAGAAAACAATTAAATAATGTACTTAGAAAAATGGAAGATTACCCAGGTTTAACTGTCTATACATACTAACTTAATTTAATTGATTTTAATGCTTTATTTATATTCATTATTTAAATATTTGCAGAAGAATTAAAAAAATCTCTAAAACCTCAGTCATATCAATTGCAAACATTAGATATTAATAATGCATTGACTAAAAAGGCAGCCGGTAATATTGACATTAATGCCATGGGAGACAAAGGTATTTTTAAATATATATTACTTAATGTAAAACAATTTATTTTTATTTATAAAATAAAACTTAAAACCATTTTATTGATTGATTTTTTTTAGCTTTAAGTACTTATCGCACACAGCAAACTATGACTTTAGATGTACTTAATAGCTTGCACAAATCATTAGGAACCTGCCCATCTTCAGATATTTTAGCTGATGACCCACAAAAACTTAAAGTGGAACTTATGCCCCACCAAAAACATGCTATTGCGTGGCTGATGTGGAGAGAGAGTCAAAAACCTCATGGGGGTATTTTAGGTATATAAATAACATATTATATTATGCAAACAGAACAATTTCTCAAACGCCAATATTATTTTATATTCAATTTTTCAGCTGATGATATGGGTTTAGGAAAGACTTTGTCAATGATTTCTCTAGTTCTTAAAGCTTATGAAGCTCAGAAAGACCAAGACGAAGATTCTGAAACAGATGATTCTTTTGAAGACTCAAATCTGAATTGTATACTTGAATAATTTACTCTAAACTAAGTATTAAATAATCTCATAATGCTTGATTTTTTTCAGATCATAAAGGTGGAACTCTTATTGTTTGTCCATCATCATTACTCGACCAATGGGATAATGAAGTCAGATCAAAAGTAAAGCCAAGAGTTTTAGATGTAGTTAAATATTATGGGCCAAATAGAGATTCTTCTGCTAGACGATTGGCCAAAAAACATATAGTTTTAACCACATATCATACGGTCATGTGGGACCAAAAAAATAAGAACTCGGTTCGTATAAATTCTATCAAAAAATGTAAAATCTGATGTTTTAATTAGTTCATTTTAAAATAGAGCCCCCTCTATAAT